CCAAGCCTGTAGCGCTGCACTGGGTTGTTGATTTCATTTCTGGCCATTCTCTGGCTGAGAAACACATTCGAGTTTGGTGAGATTCACATAATTATTGACTCTTCAGTTGTTTGTTCTGCAGTTTTGGCTAATTAACAAGCTCTTCCCTCCTCTTTCAATTCAGCAGCATGGGGAGAAGAGGAAACTGCTAGCGATGACTGTAAAACAGAGGCTGAGCTGAGTTCTCTCATGAACATAAGAGCTGCTTAAGAGCATGAGAGCACCTGGGGATTCCCAAATTTAGCTGCAAACAGAATCTCTCCTGTTGAGCTGGTCTCCCCAGAAATGTGTTTGAAGTTTTCACTTCTCTTTATTTATCCTGGGAAGGCTCCTGAATGCTTTGAATTTTCTGCCGCATAAGAAGATGGCATTTCAGTGGGAATCTTGGGTTTCACCAAGGCATGTTCCTTTCCTTCTGCTCTTACCCTGCAGAACTGAGCAAATCATTAGCTTTTCTGGCCTCACCTTTTTCCCCACTCCCCTCTTCAATCTCCTTATTGATTCTTGTCTTTGAACATGAGCGAACAGTGTGCTGCAGCTGTAAAGAAAGCAAATGGGATGCTGGGTTGCATTAAAAAGGGCAGAGACAAAGAAGTCATTATCCCTTTCTACTCGGGACTGGTCAGACCACACCTTGAGTACTGTGAGCAATTTTGGTCCCTGCTATACAAAGACGATGCAGACAGGTTGGAAAGGGTCCAGAGAAGGGTCACGAGGATGATCAGAGGACTGGAAGAGCTGCTGTATGAAGAAAGGCTGAGAAAACTGGGGCTGTTCAGCCTTGAGAAGAGAAGGCTTAGGAGGGACCTTGTTACTATGTACCAGGACATAAAGGGTGGCACCAAGAAGATGGAGACTCCCTTTTCACAAGGAGTCCCATGGAAAAGACGAGGGATCATGGACACAAGTTGCTGCTGGAGAGATTCCCATTGAACTCCAGAAGAAATTTGTTTCCCATGAGATCAGTCAGACATTGAACAATCTCCCAGGGGAAGTGGTGAATTCCCCTACACTGGTCAGTTTTGAGAGTCAGCTTGACAGGGTGCTGACTGATCTCATTTGAACTGTACTTTTATCTTGAGAGGTTGGACTGGGTGATCCTTGTGGTCCCTTCCAACATGGAATTCTATGATTGTTACATGAAGCCAGAAAAGCTTAGAATCCTCACTTTCATCCATTCTTCTCTCATTGTAGTGAAAGGGACTTGGAGGAAGTGTTGACATTTTACACACACAAAACCAAGTCAGCAAGTGTCTTCCTAGGAACAAAGTCCACAAGCACAAAACCCAGCAACACCAGTAACCAGCCAGAGAAACAGCCTCAAGAGGGTAAGTGTTGCAGGCAGTTCTGAGATGATGTTGCCCAGACAAATCCAGTTTAATTTCAGTCTTCACACTCTGTATGTGAAGACTAGAGTAACTGTGCTCCTGCTTTCTTTCCCTGAAGTGAAATGGGATGAATCTGGACTGGCATTTATAGGGACCTAGATGTGATGGCTTGTAACTGAAATGTGAATGTGCAAACTGAAGGCACTGAGATTTGAAATGAACAGAGAATCCTGAAATCAAAGTAAAGGTTGAGGGAAATCAAGGCCTGTTAAATTGTGCTGTCTACAGGGAACATACCCATTGCAGGGTATATTTTATTGCTCTGTATATTTTAGCCTAATTTGGTGTTCCATGGAAGGAGGTGCAGTGCCAGCCATACCTATCCAGTAGTCCATGACAGCACAATTGTGATCAATAGAGTTGCATGGTCCATGGTAAATATTAGCAAGAAGGTCCATTGTAACAGGGTTTAAATTCTACAGTCCTGTTCTAATGATACCACAGTTTGCATTGTTCTACTTCCTAATTCCTTTATTTTGTTATAGAGCATCCTGAGGTGGTGAAAAAAAAAAAAGGTGACCAGCCCAAAAGTTCAGTTGCAGATCTGCCTGGAGAAGGAGCGTTAAAAGGCCACAAACCCAAAGAAGTTAAATCAACCTGTAAGTAAACTGGCTTAAATCATCGTCAGGTAAAAATTAATGCATATACTGTTTTTAATACTGTTTTAAACAAAGGTTAAAACTGAGAGATTAAAATGCCCAATTTTGGGGAAGATTCTGCAGGTTTTTCTTTTAAACCCAAGAGAAGATACTGTAGAGTGAGCAATATGAAAGAGTTAGCTCATCTTCTGTGAGGGAAGTTCTAGATATGGCAAGCTTTGAAAGAGGATATTCATCATGGAGAGCCTCTTCTTGTCTTTGCTGGTAAATGAGGTCATTTTGGCTTCAGTGTGTTGGAGTAGAGGCATCTTTGTTGTGTTGATATTAACCAAAGAACCTGAAAAGAAGCTTTTTCTCATGTAGTGTGCTTGTTTTCTTTCTGTAGTTCCAGAAGGATGCACCTTATTAAATGCAGAAGAGCAATTACCTCTGCGCAGCCCTCTGAGTGCTTCTTCCTCTGTTTCTGGTGCCACACTCCAGAGAAGTACCAGTTCCCGGATACCATCTCAACCTGCAGCCTCTGAAAATTCACAGGTGCCTGGTCACCATTCATTGCTGGCTCCTCCAGTTGGTCCCAGGCTGATTCAGGCCCCATCCCCACTACCTTCCTCGCAGAGCACAGCTCCTGACAGCTCTTCTGTCTTCTCAAACCCAGTGTCCAGTGAGGCTTCTAAACTTGCAGGGTTACATCGTTGTCATTCTGGTAGCTACACCATTGGCCCACTCTCATCTTTTCAGAGAGCTGCTCAGATCTACAGCCAAAGATTGTCCCGACCATCCTCTGCAAAAGTAGGTGAGTGTTCTGGGATGCATAATAACCTGCTAGTTCAGTACAGAGATTCTGTAATCTGTGTTCTGGGATAGGTAGAAATTTTACATTTCTGGGGTTAGGAGTCTTGTTGAATGGTGCTAAATTTCTTCTGGAAAGGAGGAGTACAGGAAGCAGCCCTTGTTTGCCAAAGATGCCCTTTTACTGAGCAAATGAACAGGAAATCATAGAGTAATTTAGGTTAGAAAAGACCTTTAAGATCATTGAGTCCAACCATTAACCTAGCACTACCAGGTCCACCACTAAACCATGTCCTTAAGCGCTATGTCTGCACATCTTTTAAATACCTCCAGGGATGGTGACTCCACCATAACTGTTGAATACCTAAAGGTGTGTCAAGACCTCCGAAAAAGAAGGATCTGTAAAAGCTAAAGAATCATTAAAGAGTCAATATAAGAAACATTACTGTATCGCATTCCCTGGGACATTTCAGCACTGCCATATCAAAGGGTATCTTAGAAAGAAGATCTAGAGTCCTCTCATTTAACATTCTGGGGTAGAACATAGTTGATCAATGCAACTTTAGAGTGTAAGGAATCTGAAGGGTTGAAGAAACTGTAGGAATTTATGGATGCAGCCTTTATTGGCAAAGTTTTGTGAACAACACACAGACTAACAGCTGATAATGTGGTTGGTTGGTTTGTTTTGGGTTGGGTTTTTTGTTTGATTGGCTTTTATCAATGATGATACATATTTGCTTTAGGTTGTACATTGGGAACAGCACATATTCACTAGGGTTGCTGTATATATATATTTTCAACCTTTCTAGCATTAAAATAAATCTGACTTCCCAACTGAGTAGCCTATTTAAAGGGATCTCTTTGTTCTTAAGGGAAACAGTCATAGATTTAACTTAGGTAACAGAAGTCAATATTCTTTGGAATTGGGTGATTTAGATACATTATGATAAAGAGAATACGGGTTTGGCATTGACAAAAGCTCATATAGGCAAGACCTATGCAGAGCAGAAGGCAACGTTCTCCCTAGAAACTACAGGAAGTAATCATACCTGCTTTTGTGTCTCTGTGACCAGCAGGCTGAGAAACTCTGATATACCGCTCACTAAACATACCCAAATGTTTATTTTGGTAGGTTTGTGCCATCGCAGTCCAAGTGAGCAGTGTTTGGGCTCAGCCAGGATGCACAAAGATGCAGAAGAGACTTCTTCCCAGGGAAAACGTCGTAGCACCAGTACAGTAGCAGCAGAACTGCAGCAGCTGGCAGGAAGGCAAGCAGCCTGTCAGTATTCCCCACCAAGCCACATCAGCCTCCTTACACAGCAGGTATGTAAGCAGTAAAGCTAGAGTCCCTGTGACAACAGAGGAATCTGTCACAGGCTTCTGTGTCAGCGCTGGGCTGGGTTGAGACAGGCTGGAAAGAAGTAAATCTCATGAAAATCAATTTCTGTTGTGTCTTGAAGTGTTTACAGCGACCAGAATTTTGTTGTTCTGTCAGATGACAACATTGCTAAAGTCCTTTTACAGAAGAAAGCAAGACTGGACAGAGGATTAGAAAATAGGCTATAAAAAAACCAAATCCATGCTTGGTCTTATTAAACAAAAAACCTAAATCTTCTCAGATTTGTGCATCTATGCGATTTGCTTCCTCGTTCCTGCAGTGTGTCATCACAGTGCTGGGAATGGAAGTCTGCAGAATGGGTTGTGATGCAAATTCTGTATTCCAGTAACATTGTAAAGACATTACCAAGTACTTAATAGCGTAGTATATGGTAATCCTTTTGCTAAACTTGGTGGTATAGATCAAATTTCCATTGGCTTTTGGTAGAATTCCACTTAGTTTCATATTTCTTTTTGAGTTATATCCTGAATGGTTACACACACAGTCTTTTTTTTATAATATGCTGTAGTTGTGTTCATCAAAGGTGTTCAAGTCGGACATTTCTCAGTTAATTAAGCTGCCAACCGGAGGTTTTCCAGGATAGTCACTTTGCCTTGGAAATTAATTTTTTCCCCTCTTTACTTGCTAGGAACAAACAGTTTAAATATCTTCGCTCTGATATTTTGATTTTGGAAGTATTGTTTAAACAGTGATGTTTTGCTAAATCTTCTAAGGCATGTTTGATAGCTGCAATAGCTGCTGCTCTTTGTTTCTCTCTGCTTCTCTCAATTTTTTTGTTCTATATTTGGATTTTGAATGTCTGATTAGATGATTGGCATCGTGTCTTTTTCAAATAGTGGGGTGCGTTTATAACTCTAGGAGGCTGAATAGGTTTTTGGACCCTTCTACAGGGTCAAGGTTTTGATTCAGTCTGAGCAGTTCCAAAACTAACACAGGCACTCTGGTCTTTGCTGATGGCTCTTAAACTTCAGAGAGTAAGTCACAAAAACAAAGCACCTTCTTGTTGATGGACTCGGAAGAGAATGTGAGCACAGAATATACCAGTGATGCTGAGGCCTGATCTTGTGTCAGGTCAGATCCTACTTAGAGAATTTGATCTTTCAAAACCTGAAGTGGTATGGGGAACATCGGGAGAAACTTGTTTGCTTGTCCAGGAATATTCAGAGCTGTCGGTCTGGTTCTCTTAATGAAATCATAATTCAGCTTTTTTAAGCTAAACTTTGTCGGTAAAACTGTTCAACAGATTTGGTACTGAAACATTTTCATTCAGGAAATGCTGATTAGGTAAAAGCTAAATATATGATGGAAACTGCCTCGTTGAATAAAAATGAGTATCTAAACAAATACAGTATGGCAGCAAGGGCCTTTACAGGCTAAACTGGAGGAGCCAAGGAAGGGTTGGGGCCACTGTTGAGGAACCTGGAGCTAGGACACCTGGCACCGAGCCATAAGGTATGGATGTGGATTTGAAGCAGGGGGATTGAATGGCGAGCATTACAGAGTAGGCTGGCAGTTTGCAAAGTGATTTGCAGGAGGATGATTATCAGTCAAGCTATTTGGGAGCACTGTGGGGTTATAGATTTGAGCAGACAAGGATTTGGTCTGAACCAGGAGGGGGGAAGGTAAGGGCAGAAGAGAGAGAGAAACAGCTGGGAGAGGATTTAGTAAATAGCTGGAGAGAAGTGAGGAGTCAAAGACCATTGGTATGGGTTGAAAAGGGAAAGATTTGGGATGGGAGTGTTTGAGGACTCTGGGTTGTGAAACCTTGGTGGCTTTGGGTCAGGAGAAATAAGAGATTGAAAGATGAGAGAAGGGTAGAGATAAGGCTTGTCTGACAGTGATTTAGTTAAACAGAGCACTACTTCCTTATGCATTTCTAGACAGCAGACTCTGAATTATTGTTCTCCCCCCTTCCAATCCTTTGATTAAGCCACTTGAAATATAATAGTCCTTTTAAAGCAAAAGCATTCTAAAATAAATTGGCATGAAGATGACCCCTGGAAGGGAATATCACTTACCTAAATATGAAAAATAGGACAATTGTTTAAAGCCACTCCAGAAACTTAGAGTTGGTCTACCCTGTTGGAAAGTACCTGGCTCGTATGAAAGGGACTTGATATTTGGATTTAGTTATGTTTAGTGGCAGGATTAGGACTACTGATTTGGAGGGGGTGTGTGAAAGAGAGATATTTTGAAAACACTACTGCTGCTGTGGAGTGTTTCTTTACCAAGGGCAAGAGCTTCTATAGGAGAGTTGAATGCATTTGTTCCTGTGTTGTGCCCAGCTATGTCCTGGGGGTGGGGGTACTCTGGGTACGTTACCTCCTTCCAACAGCAGCTGGGAAGCTCATTTTCCACTCCCATTCTTGTGAGAGTTGCTGCTGGTATCCGTGTACTCGTGTGGGTCTCCAGGGCTCCCAGGAATGCAGCCTTAACAGCTGTGCTTGGAATGATGCTGCCATTCTGGTTGGCAGTGCACCTCTGTCCCTCTCCAGTCCCTGCTGCTCTTCACTGTTTCCTACCCATGCCCAAAGCACCTGTTTCACACTTCCACTCATACACTCTTGTATTCTGTTTTCTGTATTAAATCAACTTGCTTTATTAAGCCAATTGGCTGCTGAAATGACAATGTTCAAAGGGAAAGTTTTAAGTGTAAGTATCTGATGAGCTTTGAACAAGATATTTACAATCTGTCATCTTAAGGAAACAAGATTTTTGTGATTACTTCAGCTTTCTGCTTTGTCAATCCTCTCCATTCGCTTCTGAAACACCAGATGGGAACTTAACAGTGATACTCATAAAGGGAACAGTTATAATATGCGAGGTGGAGGTGGTAGGAAGGTAAAGTCTTACTGATGTGTGGTTTCATTGCCTTGTGTACAGTTAGTTTTCAGTCCTCACAGACTGCCTCACAAAGTGTGTGAGAACATTTTGCCTTTCATTAATTTGTATTTTTTAAATATATTTTCATTATATCATGTAAAATTTCATCAGTGTGTGCAACATGAAGAAAACAAGGGTTTCTTCACAGTGGTATACACTAGAAATATTGATCTAGGACCCATAAGAATCATGACTTAATCCCCTGCATCACTGAATGATGCCTTACTGCCCAGTTACAGGAATGAGAGTGAGGTGAATAGAGAGAAAAGAGCAGCAGTGTTATTCTATCTTAGACTAGAAAAGAAGCAGCTGCTCAGGTAACTTCTGTATTTGTCTTTCTTGGTAAGTGCAGGAAAGATGTTGCCTTAAGGACACACCGGAGTGTGACAATCTCAAGTTAGGTCATGAAAGATAAGTATTCAGCATTACAAATGAATAAATACAGTGAGGCTGCTCGAGAGAATATTTATTGTTAAATACAGCCATTAACAATGAATGTTAGTTTCTGTTTCTGAGGAGTTTTATTCCGTTCTATTTACTTAAGAACACAGATTTGCAATGTTTTTTATGATTACATGAAATCTAATAATAAATCTGATGTTGAGGTTATGACAGTGAGAATGACATACCTCTGTCCATAAGAGATCTTTCAAACACTACCTAATTCTTGCAGTACTCACCATCTAACTATAATAGTCCACAGTATCCAAAAATAACACTGTATTCCTCTAGTTAACTACCCAATACGTTTGGGAGCAAGCAACACTGACAACTCTATGGAAAATGTGTGCCTTTGAGAAGCCAGCATTAACCTGAGAAGTTCATGGCTGAGCAGAATAATGAGGTATCTGGGCTTAAAAGGTCGTAAGAAAACAAGTAAGAAGGAGAAAGCCACTGTCCAAGTTCACCATTTTCTACTAGATTGGTCTTGAAGATTGTACATTCTCACCTGCTTCATGAAAAATGCTCAGTGCATAGAAGTGCAAGGCCCATGAGAGTGTTTCAGTTGAGGGCTAAAATCAGGTGGAGTTCAATATACCTGTTCTGTTTGCTGCCTAATCAGTCAGAATGCACAGAGGCATTAGCAGTGAGCAGGTTTCTAATTTGGAATGAGCTGCAACATGTGCTGCTGCTTGCTTGGAAGTTGGGGGTTGTAGGGAGGAAAGATCTTGGAGATATCACAGGTAGCAGACTTGTGCATGGTGTGGTTATTGGCCAGGGAGACATGCAGGGATGCCACAGGAAATCAGATTTGATTGGTGAATTTCTTAATTCAGTGAGGTTGTAGTCTAGGACTGTAGAAAAAATTTTGGAGGATATGGGCACTAGAGATATTAAATAATTTATTTTGCATTATTTTCCGTTATAGCAGTTACAGAGGAGATGTGTTTTCTTTCTAGGTAATGAAGTTAAGCTCCGAGGAGAAAAGACAGGAAAGAAGTGTTTTGTGAGGCTTCTGTGGCTGGCTGGTATACACTTAGGAGGTCAGAAATGCAACAGTGAAGTGACAAAGTTTCCACTGAAAGGTGTGGTCAGTGGTAAAGCTGGGATAGAGGGCAGAAAGGCAACAAACGTGCTTATCTGCAACAAGGATGCTAAAGTTTCTGGTAAATCACAGAATCACGGAATGTCAGGAGTTGGGAGGGACCTGGAAAGCTCCCCCAGTGCAACCCCTGCCACAGCAGGATCACCAGAGCAGTCACACAGGAACACGGCCAGGGCTTTGGGTGTCTCCAGACAAGGAGACTCCACAACCTCTCTGGGCAGCCTGGGCCATGCTCTGCCACCCTCACACTGACAAAGCTTTTCCTCATCTTCAGCTTGAACCTCCTGTGCTCCAGCTTGGGACCATTGCCCCTTGTCCTGGCATTGGACATCCCAGAGCAGAGCCTGGCTCCTTCCTCCTGACACTGCCCTTTCCAAATGGATCCCCAGGAATGAGGGCACCCCTCAGTCTCCTCTGCTCCAAGCTCAAGAGCCCCAGCTCCCTCAGCAGCTCCTCATAAAGGAGATGCTAAATGAAAGCAGTGAGTCTTTCTCC